CACACATACACACACACACACAAAGAAAAACAAGTAGATAGAATATAAAACATAGAAAGCTAGTGTTAGTTTTATTTTTTTAAATAAAAAAAATATAAATAAACAAAGTAGAATTAAAATAGAATAGAGTGTTAGAGTTAGAGGGTCAAATAAAGGTGGAACAGATGTGTTTTTAATCGTTTCTTGAAGATGGTTAAGGACTCAGCTGCTCGGATTGATTTGGGCAGCTCATTCCACCAGGAGGGAACAGTTAATGAAAAAGTCTGTGAAAGTGATTTTGTGCCTCTTTGAGATGGCACAATAATACGCCGTTCACTTGCAGAACACAAGCTTCTAGAGGAGAAAGCTAGTGTTTGTTTTTTGTTGTTTTCTTTAAATAAAGAATAAAAGATTAAAAAATATATAAATCTAGATAAAGTAGAATTAAAATGGAATAGAAAGTGTTAGAGTTAGAGGGTCAAATAAAGGTGGAACAGATGTGTTTTTAGTCGTTTCTTGAAGATGGTTAAGGACTCAGCTGCTCGGATTGATTTGGGCAGGTCATTCCACCAGGAGGGAACAGTTAATGAAAAAGTCTGTGAAAGTGATTTTGTGCCTCTTTTAGATGGCACAATAATACGCCGTTCACTTGCAGAACGCAAGCTTCTAGAGGGCACATAACTCTGAAGTAATGAATTTAGGTAAATGGGTGCAGAGCCAGTGGTGGTTTTGTAGGCAAACATTAATGCCTTGAATTTAATGCGAGCAGCTACTGGTAGCCAGTGCAAATTGATGAACAGAGGTGTGACGTGTTCTTTTCGGTTCATTAAAGATTAATCTTGCAGCGGCATTTTGGATTAGTTGTAGAGGTTTGATAGAAGTTGCTGGAAGACCTGCCAAGAGAGCATTGCAATAGTCCAGCCTGGATAGAACAAGAGCTTGAACAAGGAGTTGTGTTGCATGTTCTGAAAGAAAGGGCCTGATCTTCCTAATGTTGTATAAAGCCAATCTGCAGGACCGGGCAGTTTTAGCAATGTGGTCTGAGAAATTCAGCTTATCATCAATCACAACTCCAAGGTTTCTAGCTGTTTTTGAAGGAGTTATGGTTGATGAGCCTAACTGGATGATGACATTTTGATAAAGTGATGGGTTTGTTGAAACCACAAGCAGTTCTGTCTTAGCCAGGTTGAGCTATCGTCGAATCATCATGATGGAATGAGAGGTAGAGTTGAGTGTCATCAGCATAGCAGTGATATGAAAAGCCATGTTTCTGGATGACAGAACCTAGTGATGCCATGTAGACAGAGAAGATAAGTGGTCCAAGTACTGAGCCCTGAGGCACCCCAGTAGCTAGATGTTGAGACTTGGACACCTCACCTCTCCAAGATACCTTGAAGGACCTAATAGTAATTTCATAGTAATAATAATAATTTCATAATTTAATATATTTTATTTAATTAGTAATTTCACTTTCAATGGTATGACAGTTCAAGCTGATCAAGTGTTTCTGCAAATATTTTCATATATACTTTAAACAAAAAGGTGTTAAAAATAACTAGGGTGCAGACGATGGAAACATATTTGCACATGCAACTGGATGACATATTAATGTATTAATATAGCTAATATTACAACAGAATATCCTGCACTGAGTGACTTTAAATGCTGATTTGTCCATTTGTCTTGACACATGACACCGACAGCATATTCATGGAACATTTTCCAGAGTTTTCGCACTACACCTTTGACCCAAACATGTGACTGACCTTTGCTGTACACACAAAAACATAGACCATTACAGTAAAATCAGCTCTCTGGGGAGCAAACGTTTCCACCGCCTATGCAAAACAAAAGAAACTGGCCCCTTTGTTCTTACTATTTCTATATTCATTTTCAGCAGTGCTGAAAAAACAAAAGACAAAAAATGACCAACTGATGCAAATTCTGAGGCAAAAATTTATTTTTTGTTTTTTCAGATTATATGTTCTATTATTAAAGAATCAAATAGTTAAATCAATAATTGTATAATAGTCCCACATGCATAACTTTATTGTCTGGCAGTTCACACGTTTGCACTTTGGCCTTAACATCTGTCTGGGACGGGGTCAAGAAACAGCCTTATCTAGTCTTTAGCAGCGTGACACTATTATTGCAGCTGTGCATGTTTGCAGTAATACAGGCCTTTCCTTAAAAACAGTCCAATGTTTCCGGTCTCAACACAGTTCAAATGTATTGCAATGACAGCAGCTGCAAAGCATCACCCTGCTGATTTTCTACACATTTAATTTCAGAAAAACACCAGTTTTGTTCGGGTTGTGCTATAAAAGCTGATTCTACATCGCCCTCTAGTGTCCGACGAATCAGTTCACATTCTGTATGCTTGTTTGCAGATTCAGGATTCTCGCATCTTTGACCAATGAATTTCCATTGCTAATAATTTAAAACTATCGTTGGGAAAGATTTCCATTTGTATTTCAGATAGCAATCTTTAGAGTTAATAGATTTAAAACCATTTCACACATCAGCTGTCTTAGTATCATTATGAAACTATTAGCGTTTTTGTTAATAGTTTGAATTCTTTTAAATTTTAGATTTTCCATTTTTTTATTTTAGTAATTTGGTCATTATTTAATATTTCTATACAGTTTTTATTAGTTTTAGTTTTTGTTATTTTAGTACATAAAGTTAATTATGTAAATGAAAATGTGAAGTTTCCTCAGCAACTAGCTGGAATAAAAATTAAATAAAGGAAACAAACTTATATTTCAGTTAACAAAAGTTTTTTTATGGTTTGTTTACTATAATAACCCTGATACAAATATCTCCAATAACACAAAATTGTCTAAGTAATATAGATATATATTACTTATATTTATTTTTAAAACTTAAAGGTTTTAATGCACACTGCAAAAATGATTTTATTACTTGGCAATTTTGTCTCGTTTTCCAGAACAAATATCTAAACATTCTTAAATGAAGATAAGATGAGAAGCAAAATAATGTCTGTTTTTTGTGTCTTCTAAATGTATGAAAGGAAAAAAAAATCTGCCAATGTGGTCAAGAAAAATAAACTTAATTCAAAGGGTAAACTAAATTATTTTTATTACCCTATTGGCATATTTTTTTTCTTGTTATAAGCAAAAATTCAATTGTTTTTTTTTTTTTTGAAAACGACTTAATGTGTCATTTTGCTTGTAAATGTATCTTGATTTAAGAATATTTAGACTTAAGAATATTTGTACTGGAAAACAAGTCAAAAATACTGAGGAGGAAAGTCATTTTTGCAGTGCAGTTTCTATCTAGACATTCTCAATAGAAATTTCCACTGCTTTTAACATTTCCATAATTTCTATGACATTTTCAATGACACAAACAATCAGACACACATTGCAGGGACGAAACAGGACTACATGATTATCAAAACTCTCCTTTTATTCTGTGCTTCAGAAACCGTCATCAGAACAAGCACGTGTAGTGAAAACATTCAGCTCAGTTGAGTTTATCAAAGTACTTGAGTTTGCCTGCGGGGTCTGGGATAATCTGTGCGGAAAGAGGAGAGATACGGAGAGATACTGTAACCTGAGATCACACACACAAACACAGACACACACACACACACATACACACACTGAAATCTTACCGTATCACTGCCAGGCTTCCATCCAGCTGGACACACTGACATCAGAGAGACAGAGACAGAGTCAGCAACACGTTTATGTCATGCACACTCATGTACTTAAGTATGCGTGATATAAGCTATGTATATTACAACGTTCTGCTGGATAATGCATATTACAATTAGAGATTGACTGATATATCGCTGTGTCCAAACTCCTATTACACATTTCAAGAATATACATGTTTTTTCCTTTATTTAAACAGTCATGAACATTCCAAAAAAAAATAAAAAATTTTGCTGCTCTAGATATTTTTAACTAATAAAAAAGACAGATTTCTCTTGTTAGTTGAATGCAAGCATATGCTTTCATTAATTCTCAATCAAATCTCTCCATCTGTTGCACATTTCTTAGCTACATTTAAAATTTTGGACAGGCTACTATATGCAGCAATATGGAAATAAATGCACAGATAATCCAGATGTTATTTAATAATTTCTAAGATAATTTTGAATTAGCTTTTATTTTTATATTTTCAGTTTTCATTTTAATTTAAATGTTAGTAATTTTGCAATGTGCTTCTGTCCTTATTTTATTTTAATTTTTGATAAATCTTTTTTTTTTATGTATATATAAGATCATTTTGAATTAGCTTTTATTTTTATATTTTCAGTTTTCATTTTAATTTAAATGTTAGTAATTTTGCAATGTGCTTTTGTCCTTATTTTATTCTTATTTTTGATAAATCTTTTTTTTT